CTCTTCTCTTCTCTTCTCTTCTCTTCTCTTCTCTTCTCTTCTCTTCTCTTCTCTTTCTTGCTTTCATTGCATCTCAGATGCAAAGTTTGCGGACGATCAATTTTTTCATTCATTCCTTTCCTTTATTCTGAATTTTCAACATGACATGCATTCCCGTATTTATCAAACTTTATCATAGTATAAAACAGAAAGAAAAGTAAAGTATCGATTGTTCCGGATTTTTCCTCTCGTCATAAAAACCACCTTTCAGATTTCACTTCAGTATAAAGCTATTCAGTGCTATCTTCATTTAAAATGACTTATCTCAGTAATTTAATCAACGAATCTTAGAGGCAGATGAAATCAGGTACAGCACCGCACCAAGCTATCAATTGACCAAATCGTTATTACCTTTGCATCCTCTCTTAGTTTCGCCCCAACCACTAGCAAACAGAACTTTGCAGAGAAAATACACCTCTTTACCTTAGCGTAATGTTTTTCCATTTCAGACCACATGTCATTTCTTTTTAACAGTTGTACATGAGAAGACACATAAATATAGATACAACCATAATAAAGAATGTTATTCCCAAGAGTAGGACACGTCCAACCTAATGTAAAGAGGTATATGGGATTACATTGGGAGTAAGTCTAAATTTAATCTAATCCCACGAGGGAGGGAGCTATATATTAGGGGTCATAAGACGAGTATAGGGTACCATATACACCATGTAAGATACGATAAACAAAAGCTATTTGTACCCAGCCTAGACAACAATGCACGTCCAGTTTCGCTATCTTACTTAAGGCCCATTCTATCGGACTTGGAAAATAACCGCTTCCGGCTAATATCCAATATCTTGTTCATATAAAATCTTTGAATGCTATTTCCCTCTGTTTTCTCTGAGTATTTTAAGAGCTATTAAAATGAAAGTATTTGTTCCCTCCTTTTTCCCTGAAGCGTTTTGCAAGCTTTCCAAACATTCCTTATGTCCATTAGATTAATGAAGTGAAATGTCGCCGCCCCTATACTATAGCCTTTTTATATCAAGTGCAGGTGGTCACAAAAACATCTCAGAAAATCAACTGGCCTGAACTCCTACGGTAATTCCAGGCTTCTAGAAAGATATTTCTCCGCGGTCATTGAATTTCAGAACTATTGCCGTGAGAAAAACAGGTATTGTGCGCTATTAGTACGCGGCCGGCTTTCGCGGCTGTAGTGTGGATTCGATCTCTAGGCCCACTTTCCTTCTAGCAGAGTCTCCCTCGTTCCAAGAATCGGCAACGAAGGAGACTGCTAGCATGCAGAGAATAGGCCCACATCATACGTGAAGTTTTATTGGTTCCCTTCTGTGCTTCAAGGATTTTTCACTCTAGTTTTCCTTCTCCAGCAAAAATCATGTTCTAAATTCCAAATCGATCATTAATTAGGACAGAAGCATTTTTAGTCACGGGATATTAAGGGCTATCCTCGTAAAAGAAAAGATTAATAATTATCAATTATTAAGATGATTAATAATAATTAGTAAATACATAGGTTTGGATGGAAGTATCGACGGGACAATAAAGGGAGAGGAAGCTTCTAGTTGGTTTCTTTTAGAATAAGGAAAAAGGTTTTTGTTACTTTAAATCCGAAAATAAACTTTTGATATAAATTATATCGCGTTTTCTTGACTTTTATTTGAAACAAACTATAAGCAAGTACTGTTGTGATAATGGAATACTGCCATATCTAATGTAAACACTGACAAATAGTGCGCATCTAAACAAGCGAAACACAAAAATATTTAAAGCGAGAAGGGGTAGTGGCTAATGTTGCACCCTTTTCCGGAATCTCGAATACGTTGAAATGTGAAAATTGCAATGTCGAAATTTATACCCAGCTATGAATAAAAACATGGGTCACCACACGTAGACGAGCCATCAAGAAACTTAATCTAAATTTTCCAAAAAAAAAACAATTTCTGTCCATGCGRAATTGGGTCAGTTCTAGTAGTACTGTTGTATTTGAAAATATCAAAGAGAAGTCAAATTTATTCGTTTTTACCAGAGTTTATACATAGTATTTACATAGTTGTCTATTTGGTACCGTTTGAGACAAAACAGCGACCAAGTCAGACTGCCAGGTGGTGAAAACATTAGAATGTTTGAAAAAATATACCATTTTACCTCAAAATTTGAATAAAACAACGTCATTCTATAATAATCTAATGAGATGAAAATATATAAAAGAGCAATGAAGATGTATATCTCTCAGAGATAATATTAACTATGGTGCCATGAGATATTATTAAGAATAAATTAGACATTCTTATAATAGTAATGGACATTGAACATGAAAAAAATCGACCATTATTGTTATGTTAGTTCCAAATTAGCTTTTTATGTTCAATTATTCTCACTTCATAATTTTCATATGATATAGTTGTTTTCATTTGCCGATTTCTAAGAACTGGAGTGTGATAGACAGATTAACATAATAAAAGATTATTAAAAAAGAGAAGACGGAAGWAGAGTGCTATTAATACTGCTTCATACACTGTAACATATATTTATTCACTGGTTTATGAAAGATGTGTCATCGAAACATTTTAAAATCTCTCACTATTCTTTCTTACATATTAGAGAATTTTTAAAACCTAAAAACGAAAACTCAAGTTCTCGCAGGAGAGAAGGGGTGGGTCAAAGCTCATTTCTTTCCCATTAATGTTTKTTTTTTTTCGTTTCTTCCCAGTTATTTTAAAATATCCCTTGTTCCCCGAACGTTAATGGTAAAATTCCCTAGCTTGTTTCCTTAAACCACCTCAAAAAAGTAAAAACTAGTTTCAGGTTTTGCAAGTTGCAAGTGAAATGCTGTACGTCAAGTACGTGTAAGCATAATTAACTATGGTGTAAGATAAAATCTAGGTGATTATTGTTTGCTACATTGTAAACACATATTTGAATAGATATCATATATTTTCTTGCCACTTAATTAAAGTGTAGATTATTTTTCTGGCCAAAGCCGTGTACGTACGTGCTTTTCAATTCAATGTGCTAGAGAGGTCGTCTAGATAACATAMCATGATCTGAGATATCTATCCTTTAGATGAAAACCCGGACCGACGAGGCTTTTATTCCGAAATTTATAGTCCGATAAGAAATTATATCACCAGACTTTACTCGAAATGCCAAGA